GTTGTGGACTGTCTGGATAAACCCTGATTCCGAAGGTGCTCCAAAAGAAGAGAGAGACTTAGCATTCCAGCAAAGTAGGACAGTGTGGGGATGGGGATGAGAGCTAGTGACCAGACCACAAGCCAAGACAGCCAAGGGGCAGCAGCCACTGGAAGCCAGACGCAAGGGGCAGACTCAGCGTGGGCTGTGGTCCCACTGATGCCTAACCAAGGTCACAGAGATGGAATTCTGTTACTCTCCAGCAGAGAACCTCATTTGGTTCAAGGAAGGGGGGATTACTCCCTGGAATTCTTACATATGCAAGTGTAATTGTGGTATTGTACCATAGATAGAGGAAAGTTTAGAGTCCTACTATAGAAAGCTGAGATTTCTTTGATGAGACTTGGCAGAAACGTCTTCATGAGGGTGCTTCTGATGGAATCTGAAGGAATCGGGTGTCTTGGAGAAAGCCTGCTTCAGATTACCCATATGGAGAGAGCTAGGCCTCCTGTGCTCACAGTGACAGTGTGTTGTTGTATGGAGGTCACTTGTTCGTTTCCCTGCCTCTCAGCCCCGAAACAACCACACAGAAACTGTATCAATTCAGTTAAATCACTGCTTGGCCTATTAGCTACAGCTTATTATTGGCTATCTCTTACATCTTAATTTAACCTATCTCTATAAATTTGTGCATTGCACATATCTGTGGTCTACCAGCAAAGTTTCGGCATGTCTGTCTCTAGTGGTGGCTCCATGACTTCTGACTCTGCCTTCTTTCTCCCAGCCTACGTACATTTATCCAATACTGTAACCCATTTAGAGGTCTTTTTTCATCTGAATCTGTCTTTATTGTGTATCTGAAATTATTTCCTGATCAGAAGACCTTCTTAAAATGCTAAGCACTTCTTAAGAACCTAAGCGACAGTGTTGCTAGGGCAACCACTGTCCTGCCTGCTTTCTCTGCCCAGTCCAACATGGCAGACATGTCCTTTCACTGCCTCCGAGACTGCCAGGTGGGAGCCATCCTCACCACCTCAGCTCTGATAACACACTGCCCACAAACCCCATTTAAAGGCTCAGCCTCCTGAAAGAGCCAGAGTTTGCCCTGTGCTAGTAGCATGGCCCAGAAAGCTGCTATTTCAAAACTGCTGCTTTTTTTCTACTACCACTGAATCGGGAAAACCTCTCTTAAAGGAGCCATGGTGTTAAGCCATGCTTAACTCTGCTTTTTGTTTGTTTGTTTGTTTTTGTGCCTAGAATTCATTTCCAGACTCTACAGCAGGGGCACGAGGCCGCTGGTCACACTGCAGTGCAGCCAGGAGGCAGAGGGAGGCTGCAGCTGGTCACACTGCAGTGCAGTCAGAGGCAGAGAGGCAGATACTGATGCTCCTCTAGTCCAGGACCTCAGCCCATGGGGTGGTGTCCTCCGTCTCCAGCACCCCCTCTGGACATCCTCTTATGACACACTGTGAGATGGGCCTATTGATTTTAAGCTGACAACTGAATATATTCATAACTGTCAAAAACATAGGCTGTAAAATACAACAATGATTTCATAAGTACATTTCTTACTCAATCTTTATATTTGTTGCCAAATAAAGGGATGAGCACACAACTTTTTAAGAAAATGTCAATATTTACACTGCTTCGGCTGAAATGTCTAGCATCTGTTTTCAGTATTGCTGAGCAAACCTCCTGTGGATTTGTGCAGAAATCAGATTCTGCAGCCCATAAACACCTACACGGTGGATAACACCATGGATAGTTTCCTGTAAACAAACAAAACCCAGTCTTTTCTCCTCAAATAGAAAACCACAAAAATGGCAGGGATTGGTTAATGAGTTGGATAGAAATTCTAGAGTGGAAATATCTAACATAAGCATGCAGCGCAGTCTGAAGCACACGGAGAAGGAAGAACGTGAATAGAGATTCAGAGCTGTTGGCATCTAAGCAGAATGGAAGTGCCCGGGAAAAAAGTGGGAATGAAAATATATCCAAAGAAGAAGCAATGGCTGAAAACTTCAAACAATTGATGACAAATACCAATATCCCTATTTAAAATAAAGAACCCCAAACAGGGTGAACACAGAGACAGCACATAGAAACATTTAGTAGAAGCCCTGAGAGAAGAAGTTAGGAGAGCATCAGAAGAAACCAGCCAGTATGTCAAGGGATCTCCAGTGAGACAGAGAGCACACTGGTCATCGGGAACCCTGGAGCACAGGCGGGGAGGGACTGCGGGCTCACGTGCTGGGGACAGCTGCCATTGGGGACGTGTATACTTGGGGAAACTCGGAAATGAAAAGGGAGAGCTGGGAATGTTGCTATTGGACCCACTTCTCAGGAAATACAGGATGTTGTTTGCGTTGGCAGGAAGTAATGTACAATGATTCAAATCAGATTGATGCGTGCATGAACACAGAGCACTGGTATTGAGAACCGTAGTTAGTAAAATGTATCGGCCATCCCCTGTCTTCACTTAAATCACACAGAAAGGCACTGAAGAGAACATCATAATGGGAGTAGCACACGTTTATGCAGAGTATTAGACAATCAGACACAGAGAACATGGGTGTGAGCTAACCTGCACTGGAATTATGAGATCACAGAAAATAGTTACTTTGTCCTTGGAAGCAAAACAAGACAACGGATATGATTACTACTGCAAAGTACTTCTTTTCTTACTGTGAGGACATGTCTCTATATGTCGTCTTCTGCCAGAATTCCAAGGCTATATGGTTTTACAGCTTGTGAAGGAATGAAGTCTACTTTGCCTCAACACAGCAATTAAAAGAGGCATACTAACTCACTGCATTAAAGCAAGACCTAACTATTCAGAGACATGCCTTATATGAGAGACACACAGAAACTGTCTAAGGATAGAAGATACCCTGTCGAGCTAGCAGATACACTAGCGCTGTGAGTTAGTCAGGACATAGGAATGCAGTACTTATTTAGTAAAGTTCTGATTAAATCATCATCCGACCACTTCCTCTGCAGGAAACAGACCTTTGAGTTACACAGAGAGAACTTTGTCTTGTTCATCTCTTAAGAAATTCATAAATGTAACAGTCTTTACAGCCGTCTTTGTGTGAACTCTAAACAGTAGTGCCTGCAACAGTCTTTACAGCCGTCTGTATGAACTCTGTGGAGGAGGTACACACAGTAGTGCCTGCTCGTCAGATGCTCCCTGGTAACCTGTGTTGGAAGAAGCAGCAGCCACTGAAGCAGGGTGACACCGCTCCATGAGCCAACATTGGGTGCTTATTCTAAAAGGACCTGGACTCAGATTGGCCTGGGCTTTGTCTTGAGAGCTTGGCTATGATGTTCTTTGCCCAATAGAGCAGAGAAGGCAAAGGATGTCTTTTAGCCCAGCGAGAGAATCTTCTCTGGATGGTTATGCAGAAGGACATGGAGAAAGGGGTCGTCTCTGCCTCTTGAACTCCTCCGCACCCTTTAATTTCTGTATGCAGTTAGGTAATGCTAGCACATGATTGAGATGCGTGCTGGATTTTGAAGCAGTGTTTTCCTATGAAGCCAAGGCTAACCTTGACCCCATAATCCTCCTATCTTCCTGTCGTGCGATGGAATTACAATCCTATCACCAAGTCTCAAGATTGAATCGTAATCTCTTGCAGTGTGGAGGTCTCTAGAAAAGTCACACTTTATACCGGGGTTGTTACCCACAATGCTTTGCTCAGTGACCTAGAACATGGTAACACAAGCATTATTTGATGTCAGAACTGAAAACAGTTCACACCCATACTCAATATTCTTCTTCAGCCTGGGAGATTAGAGAAGAGCTCATTTGGGAGTAATGAGGGCAGCAACTGGTGTAAGGTTCTTTAGAACTCGCAGAAGTGAACAGAGGAAGAGATCCCACCCACAACGAGAAAGACCCGTAGCATCTCTTGGGAGTGAGACAGGACATGACTACTCAATGGGGAAGTGGGGAAGATGCGTCTTTTGGTGGGGAAGCCCCTGCAGATATTATTCCTACAAAAACACCAGTTTCAGAACTGACTATAAGTTTTGTAAACAGAGACTGCTCATTCATTTCCCGGCCACCCTGACCCAAATAATCACACAGAAGCTATATTAACTATAGCATGATTAGGCCTATGTCTCAGGCATATTTCTAGCTAGCTCTTATATCTTACATTAACCAACCCATTTCTATTATTTTATCATGAGGCTCATAGTTTGTTACCTCTTGCTTCTTAAGCAGCCACATGGCGTCTCTTTGACTCTGACTACTCTCTCTCTCTCTACCTCTGTTCAGATTTCCTGCCTGGCTATATTCTGTCCTGCCATAGGCTGAAGCAGCTTCATTATTAACCAATTGTAATAAAGCATATTCAGGACATACAGAGGGAAACCGTACATCATCTGTGCTTTGAAAAGAATGAGTACAAAATGGAAGCATGGTGAATGTGATCACTTTCTACCCTCTACCCTTTAGCTGCCCCAGGGATCCGCACTGTCCTCACTTAGGGAGCATGAGACTCAGTGGTCAGGTTGAGGTGAATGGTGGTGACTGGTTAAGTAAGCGCCCAGTGGCCTATGCTGCAAGATGAACTGACATTGAGGTACTGGGTCCTCATCCAAGCAACCCAGACCAGTGACTGCATGTCACCAAGTCCAGCCGTGGAACCAGGACTTCTGTGTCCACACTTGCGGAACTAGTACCACCAGTGTGGGGATTGCGCATCAGCTCCTAGGCTCTGTTTATGGGGGAAACTGAGGCTAGTGGTTGTCAAACACTGAGCCTCAGAAGGCACAGGGGGAGTCATGCTTCCCTGTAATCCACCCCGTATTTAAAGAGCCCCCAGTGTGGCCTTAAATAGATCACTCGCAGGCTCTTTATTGCACTGTCAAAGTGAGAGCAGTGAAGTTGGAGCAGAGTTCAGTGTGCTCTACCGCACTTCATTTCCTCTCCCACTGGGGAGCTGCCTTCGTTGTTTTTCAGCCAAGTGCAGTTCCCTGCTCAAGCACCGAGCTTATCTGACTTGCACATTAATTATCTTTTATTACACCAGTGGGCCTTTGGTGTTCTTTCCCCCTTCCCTAGAACCACGCGGCCCAAGCAGACAGAGTTCTCAAGAATATGCAGAAGGGAAAGCACCTTCAATAGCCTCGTGTTAAAAGTTCTGTCTGGAGTGAGGCAGTCTGAACCCCAAGCTCCCTCCACCCAGCCATGTCAGAGGCCCCACATCACCCGCAGCAGGAGGTGGCATGAAAAATCTTACAAAAACTGAAAGTGAAATCAGGAAGGCCGATTGAGCAATCCATGGAAGGACAGAGCCAGAGAACCTACTTCAGGATAGCAAAAGATGGAGAACAGAGAAAGTCAGGAGAGAGCTCCTAGGGGATCCTCCACAGACACAGATGACAGGAAATGACCCACCCCTGTGGTCACTTACTCCAAAGGCACAGACCTTCAGCGTGCTCCTCGTGGAATGGATGAGTCTGCAGAGACCCAGCCACCGCTCCCTTCCTTTTGCCCTGAGAAAGGAGAAGAAATGAAAGTAGGGGGTGTTTCCATCACTCCGCAGAAGGAGTGTGCCTGGGTTGGGATCTGCAGGGATGGAAGGCTGCTGACTGCAACTCTCCTGCTGGCCCTGTTGTCCAGCAGCCTCACGGTGATGTCCTTGTACCGGTTTGCTGCCCTGCAAGCCGACCTGATGAGCCTGCGCGCGGAACTGCAGCGCTACCGGGCTGCAGCAGCACCGGCCGCCCCAGGGGCTCCCGGGGCCCCCGCAGGAGCCAAAGTGAGTTCATCCCTCCGCTGCTGGGCAGGGAGCCCCAGGCGCGCTGCTGCTTCTCCCCCGCACTTCCAATAACCTGGTGGGTGTCTCTCTTCTTAGCTCCTGGCACCGGCAGCTGCGCGAGCCCACAACTCCAGCTTCGGCCACAGGAACAGACGCTCTTTTGAGAGTCCGGAGGAAACAGGTACAGCTGGTGTGTAGCAATTAGGAGCTGGGGCTGTGCACACCTGCAGCCGCTGCATGGAGTGCCTGCCTGGTCCTCCAATGAGCAGGGTGTGAGGACAGCAGGATGACGGGGGATGACGGGGGATGACGGGGGATGAGGGTGCACGGAGAGATGGTGTGCTCAGCAGCTGCGGAAGAGCTCTCCCTGTCCCTGCAGAGTGACGTGTGCACCTGCATCCCAGGCAAGAAGCCTTTCCCAAGGTGTGCACAGCACGGAGGCGGCAGACTCTAACGCACACCTTCCGTAGGCAGTATACTTTCTGTGCAATCACGCCCTAGCGACTTCAGTGGTTCTCCGGCCATTCCCTAGCATTTCGAGTTGGGAGTTTACTAACCAAGACCTATTCTCATTGCTTCAGGAGGGAAACAGCAGCAATCCGTGTTTGTTAACAGCACAGTTAAACGCACCCTTGCTGTTATCACCTTTTATTCAGATGAAAACATTTTACCCGATAGCCGGAGTTAAACATTACTAAAGTCATATAAACAACAAAAATTATTGAACTAAGTAACATGCCAGCCAAAGAGTATGTGAATATTACATCACATTCAAAAATCTTCCACAAATTTGAATTTTACTGTATGTAGCGCGAGCTACCTCATTTTTTGCTGAAATAATCACAACATATATACTGCAGTGTGTATAATAGTAACATATGCCACGGTACATGTAAGTTCAGTACATAGACCACAAGGCATGGGATAAGAGCAGGTAATTACAGAGCATGTGATAGGGTCCCATACATCACGTCTCATATGTCATACATGATATTGCATATTATGTATGCAATAATCTCACATCTCATCAGCAATATTTGTACTACGGTGAAGCAGAAGCAGGACGTACACTCTGATGTATTTTGTTTACTTTAGATTATCTCACCAATTTTAATTATTACTATGATACTTGATGCATAATTTTTGTGTATCTCTTGTTTCTGTTGAATTATACAGCTGATAGAATCATCCATTCATCGTTCAGGGTACTCTGAAGTCTTTGGACGCATCGTCATCTTTACACCTTCATCTTGACATTTTCATGGCTTAAATAGCTTCTCACATTTATTTGGATACAGACCCTGTTTACTAATTACAAATATTTTCCATGTTTTTGTTTTATCTTCTTTATTTTCAATTTTATATTTGCTAATTTTTATCAATTGGTTATCCTATTTTTTTTTACAATTTTGGCACTGATGTAAAAATTTTATGGAATCTTGTGTTTCCTTCAAATCTGTACAGAAATGTTGCATATATATCAACAAGATTTTCCTTTCCTCCGGTTTATCAGGTTAAAGTACATTTGCCCAGGCTCTGTCAGTAGCCAGTGGTTTTTGTCAGGATTCCAGGTCCTTTGCAGTTAACTCATCAATCCTTTGACTTCTGCTGTGTAAATTCCTCTCATGTTGCCATTACTTCCTCCTTTCTTCATCTCCCCTCCAGACTGTTGTCACAAGCAAACGTTTGTAACCATCCTCATTTTAATGGACATCAGTGTGTACTCAGGTCAGGAGGCCACAGTGGTCTCTCTGCCATCCTTTCTGGCTTCTAAAGACTGGTTTTGAAAACAAACCACAACTTCACTATTCTAAAGAGGACATAGACTCATCTCAAGAGCTTTAAGGATAAAAGAATAGCAGAGAATTGTGATACATGTTTTCAATCCCAACACTTGGGAGTAAAGGCAGGCAGATATTTTTGAGTTTAAGACCAGCCTGATCTATTTAGAGAGTTCCAGAGAAACAAGGGATAAAAAGAAGAGAGAGAGAGAGAGAGAGAGAGAGAGAGAGAGAGAGAGAGAGAGAGAGAGACTAGGGTTCTGTAATGCTGTATTTTTTTAAATCCCCGTTTGCACATTTTACAGATGTGTGATTTTATGCATCCAAATATTTCAGATTGATACAATTGGGGGGAATTAATTAAAATTTGTACAATTGAGAGAATAAAATATTGTCAATGTATTTTATCAACACACATGTACATAAATCTATCATATTTTGTTCATATGTATTTTTCTTACATTCATAAATCCAAGGTTGCATATATGAGTCTCAGGAGGGAAATGCCAGTGTTCCCTGACAACAAGAGTATGAACTTTGTTTTGTATTATCCTTTTGAAGAGGGAAACTTTGTTTTGTTATCAGTTACCAGATGGTTGCCCACACATGCATGAAGGCTATCTGAAACACAAGGATTTTCAACTGGTATTTAGTAGAGTTCCTGTCTTTTTTTTTAATTGAGAAAATTCTATGCATTTTTATAAATTTTTGTTACACATTCTTGTTCTGATTTGTTTTCTGTAGGGCTTATTAACCTTGGGGAGCTCCTTTTGCTTTCAAAGTGTCCATCAAGGTTCTTACATGTGAACTGCTGTGCCTGTTTCTGAGCCTCTGATATCTGCAGCCTGATCTCCCAACAGGGAAGGGAAGGGCAGCCCTGACCTTCAGTTGGATTGCCAACCCTCCGAGTCCTCCGGGGGTAAATATTACATTGACTTAAACTTAAAATTTAGTGTCTTGGGATGAATTTTGTTTTTAATCAGTTATGTTGAATCTCAATTTACATTTTATTAATCTTAATGTATTTTATAAGGTCATTTTTTATTAAAGTATAACAACCAGAAATGAGGGGAAATCCAGGATTAAAAAATTGCCAAATACTTTATCATAGATGACAGTTCGCTTTTAATCCCTTAAATGTGTTTGGAAAGACTCTGAATTTTAGAAAAAAAAATCTAAGGCAATATGATTGGAAAACGTTACATAATCCGTTTCCTTACTCTTGTTCCACAGTGGTCTGGGCTTTGAGCCCTCACGGTCTGTGATTTCTATCCATTCCACAATCCAAACAAAATCATCTTTAGCGCCTAAGGAAGGTGAATTCTTTCAAACAGCTTGCTGCCAAACAAAACACTTGGTGAGCAGAGCTTGTGCCATGGGGCTGACCTCCTAGCTACTCTGGAGCCAAGGGAGGAGGATCAGAAATTCCAGGCTGGCTTGGGCTGCCCAGTGAGTTCTGTCCGGGCACTCAGCAGCATAGTGAACCTGAGGGGGTGGCTGTTCCTTGGTATAGCACAGCACCCCAGGTTTAATTCCCTGTGGGGAGATCATCTGTTTTAGATTCTAGAAAGACAAAATTCTTTCCAAGTTACTGCGTTGATTATTGTGTGGGTAACACTTATCAAAGCTGCTTCAGTGGCAGAGGCAAAGTAGTGGTGGAAACACGAACATCGCAGAGACTTAAGCCAGGGTGCACGCACCTCAAGGCTCTAAGGATCATGAGTGCAAACACCGCAGCGGCTCAGCATTCACAACCGCGTCTCCAAATAATTACTGGACAACTTGGGCCAATCTGCTTTGTTTTGTTTTCTAATCATTTTTATACGGATTTCTCAGTTTCAAATTGGTTCTGAATTATATAGGTTTATTCAGAGCCTTGGGGATACCTCTAAGCAGCTCCACTATGTGGCACCAGACCCCAAGAAGTAACCCAGGCTAGTACTCCTCAGGGAATTCACCAGAAGTGACGTGGTAGTTCAGGGTCCATGCAGCACGCTACCCTGCATTTAACAACCCTAAAATTTAGAAATTTGAGGACAACACAAATGTAACACCCAATATTGTAACGTGACAGTTTCCTTGGATAAAGGGTTTATATTAAAAATAAAACATGCCGAAACTCTTTTTGAGTGGCCTTTCTTGATCTCCATAATCCCATCCAGTGAAGGAAAGTTGTAATATCTGCTACATTGGAAATGTCCAGTGTTGGCTGATCCTTTCTGGTGTAGCTGTGAACTGCAGGCTGCACCATGTCTGTGAAGGAATGCAGTGTAGAACCTCCACCAGTTAGGTGAACTTGAGCCTCCTACTGGGCAAGGGCAGGCTCCTTCCTAGAAGAGCTGGCTGCTGCTAGGTGATCTTTGACCCATTCTTCTCTTAATTTTTTTTCCTCCTCTCTGCTTCATGGCTAAGACTCCCCTTACCTCCCCCCACCCTGTGAGAGGGTGTTGCAAGAGCTGGAATCTGTTCAATTTCCAAAACTCTCTTTAAAATTAAGATTACAGATCTGATAACCAAATCTCTGAACCCTGTTCTGATTGAACCCAAAGTTTTGGGAAATAAGAGCCAAGAAGCCAGGGCAGTCAGCACAGCCAAATGCAGCATTGCGTGTGTTCTCCAGAGTCATTCATGGTGGTGAAATATACAGAGAAAATGAATGACTCATACATGTAATCTGCTGTTATAATACTGGGAATGGTCAGAATGTTGAAAACTAGATAAGAGAACTGAGTATCAGATTCATGCAGGAAGCTGGAGGGAGGCTCCCTACCTCCCTTGAACAATCAATACCTCCTCAGGGTTTTAGCTTTTGTAATTTTCAGGTGTGAATAATTGCTTTCAAATTTCAACAGTTGTTTTCATAATTTCAAATGGTATGTGTTTGTATTAATAACTCTAGATGGCTGTCATGGAGGTTAGTTGTGACGGTCAGATTGACGTGACCTGGAGTCACGTGAGAAGAGAGACTTTGAGGAACGGGCCAAGGCAGGCTGGCCTGTGGGACGGTCTCTGTGTGGGACTGTCCTGGGTGAGGGTCTCGTCTGTTCATTTATGTAGGAGATCCAGACTACTCTGAGTGGCACCATCGCTGGTGGGGGTGGGGGGCGTTCTGAACTGGGGAGAATGAAGAAAGCAGGCACCACAAGCAGACATGTGTGTTGTGTCGCCCCAGAAAACATTTTGCCATGTAACACTGTGTGGGTTCCTTCCTCTCTCCAAGTGACCCCCCATTTCCGTTTGTGTTATGTGTGTTTGTGAGACTGTGTGTTATATGTCATATATGTGTGTTATGTGTGTTTGTGAGACTGTGTGTTATATGTCATATATGTGTGTTATGTGTGTTGTGTGTGTTTGTGAGACTGTGTGTTATATGCCATACATGTGTGTTGTACACACCATG